AATGAGGGATGGAAAATAAACAATATTATATAAAGTATGATTATAATGTCTATATTGATCATCACCAACCAAGTGCAACATCATTAACATGTGTAATTCTACTTGGGCCGACTTCATTGTTATGAGTTTCTTGAAAGTGTGATATTGAAGATCTCATATTTGTAAAATTTTAAAATGGAACTCTCCTCCGACTGTTCATAGTGCAAGATGTTTGAGCTTGTTTATCTTGCTCTTTTCGCCGCCTATAATTGTCACATCGTATCGATAAATAATTTTCTCTTTGTTCGAGGTTCATATTTTGTCTCCTCTTCCTTTTATTTTCGGCCCTTCTTGCCATTTGTTGTTGACTTGATATCTAACGGGTATTATTTTCCATTTTCTTAATGTAACTGCCAAACACATATGCAATTTATAAGCAACATAGTTTCACTAATTATGTTGAAAAATATTGGTAAATATGGACGGGATTTAAAATAAATATATTTGTTTTTGGAAAAAAGAAGTTTACACCAAAAAGTATTATTTGTAAAACATTTGTTAAAAATATAAATCAAAACTAAAATATAAAAAAGATGAAGAAAAAATGGGCAATCAATAAAAAGAAACATAAATTATGTTGGACAAATAGATGAAAAGATTGCATATTAACTAAACATTAAAATATAAAATGGGGTAAGAAATGAAATTAGTGTAACTTAATTATATGAAAAACTACTACAAAAAAAAATTATATGAAAAACTGAGTTAATTTAAGTTATAAATAAAAGATATATTAATTAAAAAAATAATGAGAAAAAATAGTGTTATAGTAAAGGGAGTTTAATAGATTTCACTGTGTTCCAATTGCTCCTTGTAGGTTCATAGTAATATTTCTATATTACTCCAAATTATTTTGTATTTTAGTTAACTCATAATGTTAGTGCATCTATATTAAATATTTCTAAAAGGATATTATCTATACGGGAGTTTAAAACATATTCTTGAGCAGTGTAAATGAGTTCACGATAGCCCGTATTCTATTAGATAACAATTATCAACCATCGCTAATAGGAGTTGTGTATCACCATCAATATTCTATTATACTCACCATCAAAATTAGTTTGTATTATCTATCTTGCTTTTTTTTATACTCCTATCTTTATTATGTTCAAAGGGCTAGCAAGAATGAAGTTATCCAAAAAAAATGAAGTTGATTGTAACAATTTCAAAGATGAAGTAAAATATTCATATAAAGTTTTGTTCAATGTATTCAAACACATCAGTATATCATATAAGTTAATATACACATAGACATTATCCTTTGGAGATGGCAAAATAATAATATTACTTATTTAATTAAACAATTTTTTTAGTGTGTATATATAGACTTCTATAAAGATATCATTCCATATTCTAGGAAATACTTAATTTTCTAGAAAAATATCAAGATCAGTTATCACACATAGGGAACCAATTTACTAACATATTTTTGTATGATTTTTGCAAAATAAAGATGAAATATATATATATATATATATATATATATATATATATATATATATATATATATATATATATATATATATATATATATATATATATATATATATATATATATATATATATATATATATATATATATATATATATATATATATATATATATATATATATATATATATATATATATATATATATATAGATGAAGGAGATATAAATTTTAAAATGTATTATTTTCATTCATTTATTGCTTTTAACTTTCATTTATAAATAATTGATTTATAATTTTTAATTCCATAATCATATTTGAATTGATATCTATAACCTCTCTTCTCCATTTTACAAATATATATATATATATATATATATATATATATATATATATATATATATATATATATATATATATATATATATATATATATATATATATATATATATATATTTGTAAATCTACATTTGCATTTGTCCCAATAACATCTCTATCATTTTTGCAAAATTACTCCTCTCTTGTTTTTAAGGCATCTTTGATTCTTCTCCCCCTCTCTTTATATGTTATTGTAACTTTATACTTTCTTTCATAATTGCAATTGTATTTTTAAATTCGATTACCATGTCTTAATTTGTGGTTTATGTTTTCTCACCTAGAGTCCTTTCAAATATGTAAAATAGGAAATAACATGTGAATGGCAAATTGTTTCATTACATGCCTTGATTTTAACTTTTGAATAAAAGAAGTGAATAAGGTCTAAAAGTTAAGAAGACTTATAAAAAAGAGGACACAAACCACAAAGCATATAATACTACTTCAAACTTTTATGTGTATGATGATGACAGTCTGATACTACAATGAACAATACATGTGGTTATGAATTGTGTCGGAAACATTTTATGGCAGTTTATGAATTTTGTATTTTAATAGAGATTTTTTATGTAATGGAGTAATAATTACGTGTAGTGTCATATTCCGTTAATAATTACACCAAATATATCAAATACCCATTGAAAACTTTTAAACAATTTCTTAGTATAATCTATAAAACATCCCTGTATCATATAATTTCCAATTTATACTGGAAGTGCGCGTCAAAAAATTATGCAATATTCTAATTGTTACGATAATTTCTTAGCAACTATTTCATAGTTACAGTAATTATCAAGTACAAAAAAAATTTCATGTATCAATTAAAAATAAAACAAAAAATGCACTCAAGTGTAACGGTTAGTTTCCATTAATATCCAGAAACGATGTCCATAAAAGAATGTAAATCAATAGAAATTTAAATAAGAGGAGATGTGATCAATTTTTAATAAATTCATTCAATTATATTTAAAAAATACCTGACAAAAATAATATCAGAATGAGTTTGTTGAGAGTCTTGATCTATACTACTTTATACATTCATTCCATTGCATTTCAAACAAAGGTACCAGTGAAGATTGAATTCTCTTGATAAATTATAGATGAAGTAATAGATCAATTATTTGCGCTCCAATAATGGAGGTATGCATGGTTTGACAAAGAAAGGAAGAGAGGGATACGATTAATTTGCAAATAGCTTGACAAATTGAGAGAAATAGTTTGTAAATGGCTTGGAGAGAGACTCACTTTGCATAGAGGAGTTAGTATGAACCTTAATAATAGGAAGGACTATTGGAAATAGTGGGAAGTTATTTTTTAGTATTATTATTAAATAAATCATGTGAGAAATTAAGCATTAAGGTAAAGGGTAAATATGAAATAAAAATATGAAATTAAGCATTAATGAAGGGTAATTGTGGAACAAAAATAGGCCACACCAAAAAGTTGTATCCCCTTTATATATAGTTATAGATACATCTCTTATATGCTTGGTGTGTGACAATCTTAGAGTTTTCATCAACAATAGAGACCAAGTGTTTAAAGATATATCATAGGATTTTAGCTATGCACAAAGAAAACCTTGGATTATACCTTGGATTTAAGTGGTTCATATATTGAGAGTTGGAGAGGTAGGAAAATACTTAGGTATAAAATATGATTGTTTTTGGCTGCCTTCCGGGTTATTCTTAGAAACTTGAAGGCGAATGCTATTTTCTCGTAACTTATCTATTGTAACAACTTTATGAGTATAGTGAATTTGAGAGTTTCTCTCCCCCAAAGTAGATCGTTTGATTGAATTGGATAAACAAACCTTCAGTTTTTTCTTTCCTTATTCTGTTATATTATATCTGTGTACGAATTATTATTGGTGAAGACCATTTATTTTGGTTGCTATTGTTCTTTGCCTCACAAATTGATATTGAATTTTGTCGTAATTCACAACAAGATTCACAATATGATAGATGATTGTTTAGATTCTTGTGATCAGTTTGGGCTAATTATCAATGTGTTACAGTTTGCATTCATTAATAGTGATTGACTGAGTTATGAAAACTTAAGTGACATGTTGCCACACATTGTAGACATCCCTTAGATACTTAAGTCTTAGTTACATGGTGCGAGTGATGCACAAGCAACAAGATGATGACTTGATTAAGAATCGATTAGAAACATGTAGAGTCGAGTGAACCCATATGATAAAGAAACTCACTGCGATTATCATCTCATCCTATTATTGTTGTTGTTTTTCAGGTGTTTATTTGCAGGTTAAGAGTAAAAAGTTGTTTGGTGATGTTTCAAAGACTTATGTCATTGTGATCTTCTGCTATGAATTATGTGCTATTGAGAATATTATATATAACTCTTAGCTTTATTTAGGAGTAATATGTGCCATAGTTTTATATTTAATTTGGACATGTGTATATAATGATGACATTATACACTTATATTATATCAGTATAAAATAATTAATACTGGTATAATATTACTATTCTAGATATATATTATACAAAGTGTTATAATTGGTATCAAGAAAGGTGGATTTTCGACCTATCCTTGAAACATCATAAATAATTCTATTGATGACTCGTGTGTGTAATTTTTAAAAAAAAATAATCATACCATTATTTTCAACCAATTAACTATTTATCATTTATAATTATATAGTAGTTTCGGGTCCATAGCAATTAAGAATAGTAAAACCAAACTTATTGTAGAAAAAATCTCACGCGCTCAACAAAGAGCGTGCTATTTTCGGAATTGAAAAGGTTAACAAAGAAACTAAGAACCCTTGCATGTTTAGTTACGCGCTAGTTGAGCACGTGAATCTGTTTCCTGAAAAAGCCCAACATCAATTCTTTCCCTGCGTAGGTGGGTTAAGAAGCTCTCTCTCTTTCTCATATTTTTATCAATTAATTAATTTATTAATTTAACTCACGCTCCGAAATTTTATTTTATTTCTTTATTATTATTTTCGTCAATATTCCTCCGTTTCTCTCTCAAATTCCCAGTTTTCATTTCATTTCCTTCCAAAACTCGCACGCTTCAAATTTCGTTTTCAATTGTTCTAGGGTTAGGGTTTCGATTCATTTTCATTCGATTCGATCGCGGGTTCAATTCACAACTGCAAATACCTTATTTACCTCCCACCGACGACGACATGGGAGGTGACGCTGCCGCTGAGAGTGCGACGGAGCCACAAACCACCGACGGAGTTAAGATCAACATCCGTTGCTCCAATGGTTCCAAGTTTTTCGTTCATGTTAGCCTCGAATCCACCGTTCGTTCGTTTAAGGATGTTGTCGCTCAGAACTGCGATATCTCTGCTGACCAACAGCGTTTGATTTATAAGGGTCGGATCCTCAAGGACGACCAAACCCTTCAAAGCTACGGTATAAACCTGATCTTATGATTTGCATATTTTTTCGCTTTTATTTGTTTCTGAATTGCGATTCAACGTTTTTTTTATTCTGAGTTATGTTCGTGCTGTGTTTGATTTTCATGTAATTGAAAAAACAAAGATGTGTGTTTTTTTGTTTTGGTCGGACTGCTTTTGTTTTGGATGCTATGATTTTATCGTTTTTGGTGCTCTTTGATTTCTCATATTAATTTATATCGCTTATTTGAATTAGGAGTATACTATTACCCCTTTATTTGCATTTGTATGGTTTAGCATTTACAATTACGGATGAATATGTAGCACAGACACCTCAAAAAAGGTGTCCGTGCCCGTGTTGGACACCTGCACCAACACTTGTGTTTACGGTTAGTTTATTATTTTTTTTAAAAATTATTACCGGTGTCGCTCTGTCAGGGTCTGGGTCGTTTTAGGGGTGTCTGTGCTTCATAGCATTGGTTTAACTTGTCTCCAATGAAAGGTGGACTTTTCTCTAGGTGCTATATGTATTTGGCTGCAGAGGGGGTTTTGTATTTGTAGTTTTAAGTAAAGATACAAATGGAACTAAAATCATGTTATGTTATCAGGAATAGATTTCTTCAAAAGAAAAATCTTTGGTATATAGAGAGAGTATTTCCTAAATTAGTGAATATATAATTTTCTTTGGTATTTGGATTTATAGGTTTGGAGGCAGATCACACTGTTCACTTGGTTCGTGGCTTTACTCCTGCCAATGCAACTGGTGGGACTAATACCAGCGGTGCCAATACCACAACTACTAATGCTAGAGCTGCTGGTGCTAATGAGGGTGGGGGATTAGGAGGAGCTGGACTCGGAGCTTCACTGTTTCCGGGACTAGGTATCAATGGGATGGGTGGAGGTGGTGGTCTCAATAGCTTATTTGGAGCGAACCCTCCAGATCTTGATCAATTGCAGCAACCGTTTATGTCAAATCCCAATTTAGTGAGAGAAATTATGAACTCGCCTGCCATGCAAAATTTATTAAATAACCCTGATATAGTGCGGAACCTTCTAATGAGTAACCCACAGATGCAAGAACTCATGGATAGAAATCCTGAGCTGGCACACATACTTAATGATCCAAGCACACTTCGCCAGACACTCGAGGCTACAAGGAACCCTGAGATCATGCGCGAAATGATGAGGAATACAGACAGAGCAATGAGCAATATTGAATCTTCTCCTGAGGGGTTCAACATGCTGAGGCGCATGTATGAAAATGTTCAAGAACCATTCTTAAATGCCACCACAATGGCTGGTAATACAGGAAATGACAGTACCGGAATTTTGGGGACTCAAGGTGGCCAAACAAGGAATCAATCGACCAATCCCTCAACTACCAGTGCTGAAGCAACTTCCCCAGTACCCAATACTAACCCACTTCCTAATCCTTGGTCATCTGCTGCAAGTAAGTATTTATACCATGATATTCTTCTTGTAACCAAGCAACTTAATGCCCTCCTTTAGTACTATTTTGAAGTTCTTTTGTTTTTTTAATTTACTTGTTCTGCTCTAAAGCTATTAGCTATATTTAAGTGGTTTGTGACTAGTACTAGGCTAACACATCCTGAGTATTTTAGCTGGAGGTGCCCAAAATAACGTCAGGAGGTCAACTACTGGCGTGGAAGCTCGGCAGCAGACACCCACTGGCTTAGGTGGGCTTGGTATGCCAGATCTTGAAGGCATGTTGGGTGGTTTGCCAGATGCGAGTTCATTGAGCCAATTTATGCAAAATCCAGCTATTTCACAGATGATGCAAAGTATCCTTTCCAATCCTCAAACAATGAATCAGGTATTTACTTAATGTGCCCATAAGTTGTGCATGTTTTTGAACTGATCTCTCTAACCTCTCAGTTTCTCTTAGATTCTTGGTATGAATACTGATCAGCATGGGGTGCCTGATCTAAATTCAATGAGAGAAGTGATGCAAAACCCAGAGTTTCTTCGCATGTTTTCCTCACCCGAGACAATGCAGGTAGATAGATTTAAAATACACATGTCTGTTGATGAATTTGAGCTAATATGCTCTCCCAATTAGTGTTGAGTACATAACTATTCACATGTTAATAAGTTTTTGGTCCAATGCTGAAGCATTTAGTCATATGTTTATTTTGGGAGAACATTAGTTTTAAATGCTTTTACAGCTATTTTCAGTTTTGTATCTCCTGTCTTGTGATGAGTTGTTTGAATAATAGGTTTTCAGTATTGAAAAAAAAAAAGAATAATGAGTATCATAGTCATACCTGATTGGACTGAGAGCTGCCTAGATCAAGTGGTGGTATAATGGCCTTCTAGCATTTGGGAATTAATGGGCTGAGACAATTTGTGATTAAATTTTGATGAATTGTGTTGAAAAAAAATAGATTTTAGTAAATGTATTCCATGTTCTCAAGTAGCAGATATAGCATAGCAAAAATTTGACAAGCCATTATTGTTGTTTCACTACACATGATTTAATGCCAAGTGTTGTCAAATAGTAGTTATTACAGTGCTATAGCACTGTAGCATATCATGATTTGAAGAAAATGCTATTGTCCACGATCTACAGTTGACAACGCTAGTGTGATCTAATATGTTAAGAGTTAGTGTTGTTATCCCAAGATAAACTTAGTAAATTAACTCGTGTATTTTCAATTATGGCAGCAACTCTTGTCTATGCAGCAAGCTCTTATGACTCAGCTTGGTCAGCAGCAATCAACACAGTAAGTAATGGAGCAATCCTGGCATTCCTATTTTCACAATCATAAATTTTTGCTAGCTTTGTTTATACTTATACTTGATTGTTTAATTGTGTTGGTCATATATCTTAATCATATACTATGAAACGTGGATGCACCAAGATTGTAGGTGCTAATGTATTACGTGCTGGGTACAGATATGCTTGGTTGGGTATGTACAATTTTTATAAAATAGTAATGTAAAGGGGATCTCGGGCTTGATATGGATGGCTTGAGAAAAAATGTTGGCATTTTGGGTCCACATGTGAGGGTTTTTCTTATTTTATTTGACCCGTACTACCCCCTTTCTCTCAAGTGAGTGAGAAAGGCTAATCTCTACCATTTGATCTCTTATGGATGCTTTATATTTATTTTGAATAGAAACATTCTTGGCCATTATTTGTGTGGTTCTAGATTAATGTAATTCAACTCGTGTTATTTTGCCTCCATAATGATAGCAGTTTCCTTGCACATCTGTTGTTAATAACCTCTCGGGAGTAGTTAGAGGAGCTTTCTTGCCTCTGTTTGATTTTAACTTTTCTGGAATAATTAATTGCTGTAGCTTATTTCCTTTTGCCAACCATGATTGTCTGATGGATGCCCTATGATAGTAACAATATCTTTGGATTTAGTACAATTATATATTTTTGGATTTAGTGCATTAAAAGTCCTTTGAAGAGCTTGTTTTATTACCTGTCTAAGGAAAGATATACAATTGGGGTCTGCGTCTACATTCAGTATCACACTATAAGCACCTATTTAAATATAAATATGCATACAGCTATATTTTTGGATTTAGTGCATTAAAAGTCCTTTGAAGAGCTTGTTTTATTACCTGTCTAAGGAAAGATATACAATTGGGGTCTGGGTCTACATTCAGTATCACACTATAAGCACCTATTTAAATATAAATATGCATACAGCTATACACAACCAATTGGGGGTATGACTCACTAAATGGAATTTGCATGAGTTGGGCTTGAACCCAGGGTTCTTTCATTCAAACCCTTATGTAAATCCTTGAGTAGTGATTTCCATTGGGTAATCCTTCTGTCACCCTCAGCTTTCCTTAACTCAGCTCCCAATGCATACAACTTAAATGGAAGCTAACCATGTGACTAATTAAGTAGTGAAGTTTGAATTTTGTTGCCCCTTTTGATTTTATTCTGTTCTCTATTTGCTACTGGTTTGATAATCTAATAGATATGCTTTGTGCAGGGAACCAGGTCAAACAGGTGGAGGCACTGGTATGCAAGATTATTCTGCATTCTTTTATGGTTTCTATTTATAGAACTATGCTCTGGTAGTCTGTTTGAAATATTTCACCTGGTTTTCATTCATACTGAAAACTGTGTGACCATCTCTTTAGACCACCTTTCCAAACTTAATTATTGTGAATCATAGACCACCTTTCCAAACTTAATTATTGTGAATGATAATGTTTTGGAAACATTTAATTTATGTGTTAGTGTATCCTCTTCAACATGCTATATGCATCTATTTGTCTATGAGGTTTTTCCTAAGATCTCAGCTTAGCCTGTATTAGGTGAGGAATAATACATATAGGTTGATCTGGGTGTTTTTATGTGGCCCCTGAGGTAGGTAAGTGCCTTAAATTCTTTCTGACTTAATTTTAGCTGCTCCAAACTGAATTTTCAATACCCATTAGACAATGAAACTATTCCGTGGCCAACCAAATGGCATGGCCAATAAAAGCCAATTGGCATGGGCTTTGAAGTTCCCCTGCATCTATGGAATGCCAATGATGGGGGAGATTTAATGTGGCAGCTGGATGATGCATTTTTCATTTGCCTGCACATTCAAAAATTATAAATGTATTTGGTAATTGCTATAATTTGTTTGTTTCTAGGACCAGCGAACAATGTGGGGTTGGAGATGTTATCGAGCATGTTTGGTGGACTTGGAGCTGGTAGCCTAGCTGTTCCAAACAGATCAAATGGTTAGGCTTGCTATATTTTGTAATTTTCTTGTGCATTTTATACCGTATTACTGATGGATGTCTTTTACTATTCCAAAACCGCACTCTCCTTGATGTCTTTCCAGAGCCACCAGAGCAATTGTATGCTACCCAACTTTCCCAGCTTCAAGAGATGGGATTCTTTGACACGCAAGAAAACATAAGGGCTCTTATTGCTACATCAGGGAATGTTCATGCAGCAGTTGAGCGGCTTTTGGGGAACCCTGGACAGTAGCAGGTAAACTTGGCTGATTTCCTTTCGAGAAGCTTCTTCTGTGGATTGTGTTTGGCACCTCCAAACTGATTGCATTCAAGCGCCTTGTTTGGCATTTAAATATAATTTCCAAATTATAATGGTTGGGACTTGACTGGCCGGTGACAAGGTTTTATACAGGAACTGCATCTGCAGTTATCACTTATCCTTGAGATCTGATGACATGTTTTCTTCATGTACATATGTTAATAATAGTTTTAGACATCCGGTAGGAGAACTCTAATGTTTTAAACTGAATCATTTTTAATACCTTTATGTATTAATATATTTTTTCGTTATTGATTTATTAATACTTGAATAACTTCATAGTTACTGATTTGGCAGGTGGGAAGGGACACCAGACTAGCAATTAAATAGCACAAAAGCTAAAATCTGGTGCGAGATATTATCAGATTAGTTTCAATTTTCGCCATCGGAATTATATGTTCAAACAAATCTGTTTATTTTTTTACATCTATAATTTGTGATATCCAACACTCCAATTACTAATCATACATTGAACTACAAGAAAATACAAGGGTCTTTTGTACTGTACGTGTGTTTTTAACTTAAACGTTTGCAATGATTGGCCTCAAGACAACACTCGAAAAAAGGGGTTTGAGACAATTTTTTATTATAAGACAATTTTTTATTATAAGACAATTTTTTAATTTGAGTGCTTTCATTTGAGTTGTAGTCTTGTTACAAATTCCTTGTGACAGGATTAACGCTCAAGTGACGAAAGAATCTTTTTCTATTGCATACTTTTTTTTTAATCAAATGTTTTCACTCAAAGAGACTATGCAATGTTTTACAACCAAAATGTACGCTATCAAGATTTTGAGATCTATCTTAGTTATGGATTCTGCTGAACAAACTAGTTGCCACCTTCACAGAATGTATTTTCTTAAAAAAAAAAACGCATTCAAAACTTGTGCGCCACAAATTACCACCATAAAATTGGATAATTCGAACTTCCTTTCACGCAAGCAACAAGTTAAGGGGATTATTTGCATCCACGAACTTCATTGCCATCTTGTGAATCCTATTATTCGCAATCTTTTGATGGAAGATCACACATTTGATATTGAAAATCTAGCATATGTCTCTTGGCTTCAACAGGATTCTCTTATATTCACATGGGTGCTCATCACACTCTGATTCGATACTCTCCAGGATTGTGAAATGTGTCCATGCTTATGCTTATGAAGTCTAGTAAGAGTTGCCATGCATAGAAAATAAAAAAGTGATTACACCATTACTCAATATCTAGGTTGAAGTCTAGTAAGAGTTGCAATGTATAGAAAAAGGGGATTACACCATTACTCAATATCTAGGTTGAATTCAATAAATTGTGGTTGCGATGCATAGAAAAAGGCGATTACACCATTATCTAATATCTAGGTTGAAGTCTAGTAAGAGTTGTGATGCATAGAAAAAGGCGATTACACCATTATTCAATATCTATGTTGAATACAATAGATTGTGAAATGCGTTCATCTTATGAAGTCAAGGCAATTACACCATTACTCAATATTTAGGTTGAATTCAATAGATTGTGAAATGTGCTCATCTTATGAATATCTAGGTTTACACCATTACTCAATATCTATGTTGAATACAATAGATTGTGAAATGCGTTCATCTTATGAAGTCAAGGCAATTACACCATTACTCAATATCTAGGTTGAATTCAATAGATTGTGAAATGTGTTCATCTTATGAATATCTAGGTTGAATTCAATAGATTGTGAAATGTGTTCATCTTATGAAGTCTAGTAAGAGTTGCGATGCATATAAAAAGACGATCACAACATTACTCAACATCTAAGTTGAATTCAATAGATTATGGATGTTTTTGAATCTATTGGAGATCTGGTATCACATCGAGACCAACTTGAAACGATTGTAGATTTTATTCCTCTTGAGTATTAACATCAGCGTCAATTATTCAATACTGTAATGAACCTTGTGCCCTAATTGTTATTGAAATCATGCTCTTAGCTGCATTAGAGATTCAAGTTCCAAGTAAGGATATTGTGCAATAGTTTGATGGAGGTCATGACTTTCGTGGTGGTGGAAGAAATAACAGGTTCAATGTTAGATTTGCTCTAAGGTTGCACATGATGATCATGTATGCTATCATGGTCACTCTGCTCAACCTCCTTCCTAAATTAGTGGAAGAATCTAGTTCCATACCTCATTTTGCAACCTTTTTACACAAATACTTGGCCATTTGTTGCACCTCCTCCTTCTTTCAACAATTAGTGGTATGCACCTTTATGTTTCTTCTTTCTAGCGTGCACCCTCTCGTGGCTTCTCTCAAATGGATTCTCTTCAAGAACACCAACACATTAATACTCTTGACTCTCTCATAGAACACCTCAATCATACATTGCTGGAGCTGAGTCTAGTTCCAATCCTGCAACATTCTCACAATGGTACCCTGACTCTGGAGCTACACATCATGCGCCACATAATGTTGACAGTTTTTTTTTTGGATAACATCTTTACTTCTGGTTCCAACCAAGTGCTACTTGGTAATGGACAAGGTTTTCCTATTACTTCTATTGGCACTAGTGTATTTCAATCTTCACATAAATCACACACCACACTTCAGTTGAATAATATCTTACTAAAAATCTCATCTATGTGATCCAATTTGCAAGGGATAATATTGTGTATTTTAAGTTTCATCCTGATTTCTTCCTTGTCAAATCATAGGCTACTTCTGATATCTTGCTTCAAGGTGTTCTTGGAAAGGATGTATTATACTCATTTGGTTCTCTTCACGCTACAACTTTCTATCATAATACTTGCAACACACCTAATGTTCACACACTCACTACTATTTCACCTTACACTGTAGATTTAGACTCCAATTCAAGTCAAGGAATTCCTACTACAAGACCATCATTGTATGCTCAATGGCATAATGGATTAGGTCACCCTCATCATATCAAGTGTAATATCCATGTTCCTATAAAATTAAAATTGCATTTTTGTGCTACTTGTTGTCTTGGTAAAGTACATAGTTGCTCTCATTTCACCTTTTGAACTACTGTCTGTTGATGTGTGGGGTCTTGCCCCTATGATTTCAACCTTTGGTTTTTGATATTTCCTCACATGTGTAGATGCTTTCACAAAATACACTTGTAGTTTTCTACTTCAGTTTATTCAGTTTTCACTACATTTCTAACCAATGTTACCACTCAATTTAAATGTGTAGTGAAAGTTGTCCAAACTGATGGTGGTGGCGAGTTTAAACCTCTGACTTCCTTTCTCACCAAACATGGGGAAATTCACAGAATCACTTGCCCTCATAGTCACCACTAAATTGGTGCAGTTGAGAGGAAACATAGACATGTGGTGAAGACATGACTTACTCTCCTAGCTCAAGCCAATCTACACCTAAAGTTTTGGGGATCATGCCTTCCAAGAAGCTACTTTATTAACATAATTTAAACTTTTACTATTGACATGAATTCTCCCTATCTAGCTCTATATCATACAGACCCCCGACTACAAGTCTCTCAAAACATTTGGTTGTGCTTGTTATCCTCATCTTAGACCTTATAATCCTCATAAATTTACCTATCATTCAAGAGACTGATTATTTTTGGGCTATTCTTCTAATCACAAAGGTTACAAGTGTCTAGCAAGTGATGGAAGAATATACATCTCTAAAGATGTAATCTTTAATAAACTAAGGTTTCTCTATTCATCTATGTTTCCTTCTTCTTCTTCACATGCTTCCACATCTCATAATCATTCATCCATTTCAATACCTCTCACATTTCCTCCATCTCAAGTCACTCCTATTTTCAATACTCATCCTCATGAATCTACCAAGCCCTTTGCTCCCAATTCAAACTCAGCTTCTCATTCTGGTCAAGCAACTTCACAATATGTTTCTAATTCTGTGCACATTAATCCTGCTGGTTTGTCTCCTTAAAATTCCACTTCACCTATCACTTCACCTACTGAACCTCACACTAATGTAGAGTCACCACAATTATCTAACATTTCCCCTGAGTCCATCTCCATTCAATCTATTGCAGCCTCTCTCACTTGTTCATCATCCACTGCCAGTCTTTCACCTCAACCATCCAGGATTCATCCTCACAATACTCATACCATGGTCACAAGAGCCAAGGATGGAATATTCCATCCAAGACTTCATCCCACACTCATTTTTACTAAAATTGAGCCCATTTCCTACAAAAAAACTATTAAGGATCCTAAATGGCTTGATGTCATGAAAGCTGTGTTAGACGATGGCTTGGATCTAGAAGGGGGGGGGGGGTTGAATAGATCCCAATTAAAATCAGTCGGCGCTACCAATTAAAAATTGGTTTTTCAAAATATTTGTTTTTAAATTTGCGGAAGCAGCCGTGGAAAAATTACGTCTAAGAACGAACTGTTATTAGAAGACCGGATATTGCATCTAGCCTTATGGATATGATAATGAGCAAAGTTTGATTCAACACACTAGTCACACTATCAGTTGATTTTATCACTTATTAGTAGAACTAGCACCAATGATCTACAATGCCCACAAAGTAGGCAAATAGACTAAGTAAACTTTGGTGTAGGCAATTTATCAAACACTTGGTGTGCAATACGCTCCAAGTGTGGTTTGGCTTGAGTAAGATACTTTAATTTCCGTGTGCAATGTATTTTTGCACTAAAGTTCAAAACAGTAATAGGTACTTACTCAATTCAACCCAACTTATGATATAATTGCTTATACTAAAATCACTTAAATTTTAAGCCAAAATTGAAAGTGCTGAAAAGTAAAGGAGACAAAGATTTGTTGAGGCAGTTCCCCCGCCGTCCTCGCTTCGGGGTACGTCTTCCCTCAATTCTAATAATAGAATTGAGATCAATATATTAGATATCACCTGTAATGTAGAAATGTTTATACAAAAATTGATAAGCAAAATGTACAATCAAGCCCTCTTGAAGTTGATGATGCTATG